ACTACTACTACTCCACAACTCCCACGTCCAGTACTACTACTACTACTACTACTACTACTACTACTACTACCACTACCACCACTACTACTACTCCACAACTCCCACGTCCAGTAGCACCCACTACCATTACCACCACCACGACTACGACTACGACGTTGATTTCGACTACGACTACGACTATCACATCGGCAAGGCAGCGAAGCCCACTCAAATCGAAATTGAGTATACGTGGCACCCGCTCTAGCAGCTCAAATGAGTTTCAGAAGTTATCCATCTCATTAACTTGCAACTAATCTTGGTCCAGGTGTTGAGACTAGTATTGCCAAGGGCTAGTACGAGTAGAATGCTCTCCTTTCTGCACAGCCCTTGACTTGACTAGGCAAGATGACTCACCACTTCTATAACAGGCCTAACGTTCGGGTCCCTCCTCAATCGCATGAAGGGCTGAAGGGCTACGCCCACAACCCGCAAAAAGCAGAGCTTTGAAAGGCGCGCCTCTTCTGGCCATGCATCCTTCAATCCGCCCAGGATTCCCTGGCATTAGGCTGCAGCTACTCGTGATACGAGGTCTCGCAAGCGGCAAGCTGACTGCAGTCATGCTCAGAAGATTCAGGACGGTTCACAACGGGGAATTGCGCGTGCAACCTGCTAGGTTGATGGTGATGGTTTGACTTAGACTAGTAAAACCGAAACCCGAGAACCTTCCCGAAGACCACGGAGAGCCCGAACCCTTCGATCCTCGCCCAAGCGTTGAGCTCGAAGGATTACAATAGACCGCGATGTTGGGACTGGAGCTTGCAGATTTGGGACTGAAGAGGGCATGGCCTCAAGACGTACAGGGTATTTGTTGTCGGTAGGGCATCGGTAGGCCAGACAACTGGCACCCTGTTTCCAAACAGAGCTCGATTCCTACGATGCATGTACTTGCGGCCGCCCTCAAGAACCAAGACTTTTTGGAAACAGCGGATCTGTCCAAGATACAGCCCAGCGGGGTTGATTGTGACTCTCCCGAATTTGGTGAAATTTAATGCGTGAGTCAATACTATCATACCTGGTAGAGGCTTGAGGCTTGATGACGTTTGTAATTGGACCGTTGTACCTATATGACTATCCGTGTGGATGACCACGTCTCAACCTATTGAGAGGACTGCATGCTGATGCAGGAAATGGCTACAAGCATTCATCTCCCACCTTTGGCCACTCGGAGGTCAGCAAGATGTCTACACCTGCAGGAAAAGGCCGAGAGATCTGTCGGAACGGGGCCTGAAACAGAAGAGAGCCGGAGGTCGATGTCGGCCTCCGCTGTCTCCGATCTCCTCGCAGAGACGCTCCACGGCCAGAGGCGTGTAGCGGCCGTCTAGAAACCTTCGGTCCGGTGCCAGGTCATGCAGAATTGAGAGGGATGATTTCTACGCAGATAGCCACATCAGCCTCCGAAACTGTTGAAAGAAAAAATGCTGAACCTCTCTACTCCACCGCGTGTCTCACACAGCATCTGAGTCCAATACAGCTGTGTTTGCATGAACTCTTTCTTCTTCTCCTTGGCCTTTGCTTGGGATTCTGCTCCCTGCTTCCGACATGCCAGCTGCATCCTCACTTCTCAGACCTTGGAGCTGTCGGCAACAGCCCCTAAACCCTGTATGTCTCCTAGGCCCGACTCCTTGAGTTCCTGAACTCCTGACTCAACTCTGGCGCTTCGGATCCTGGCCTTGAGCTCCTCCCAGGATGGCCCAGAAGAGCTTCGACTGGGGAAAGGCCGAGTGCTAGGCGCTTTTTTCCGCGTCTTATCCTAGTAACCCAGTGGTGGGGTCCGTCAGAGAGGCACGTGGCCTGTCGCCGAACTGCATCCCACAGCACCCCAAGAATCGAAAACACATGGCCTGGCCGTGGATGACGTGGGTTCCGTCTCCAAGGCCGGAGGCGCCCCAGCGAAGAGCCCACGGTCCCCCTCCTGCGATCGGGAGAAGAAGAGCCCTCTGAACTGCAAGCGAATGCAAGCGAATGCAAGCGAATGCAAGCGAATGCGAAGGGTCACACGCCATGCAAGCCGAAGCCCTCAAGCGGAGGTGTCTCTGTCTGTGTTTGGCCTGCGCGGCATACTTGGACTTCAGGTCATCAGCTTGGGGTAGCGCCTGGCCTCGCCCGCCAATTTCTTGTGTCCCATTTTCCAAGAAAGAAATCCCAATTAACTAACACAACATCCCACCGCGAAAACAAGATGCCAAGTGCTGCGCCGCCATCTTCGTCATAATTGTCATCCTGCCGAACAGCCACTGTTCTCAAATGCATCAGCAGAATTTAACACATGTTCATCGACCCAGGAACTTGACCGGCACGAACAGTCAACGTTAATGCTTTCGCTGGTCCTACATATGGCTGTAAGAGCCTCTCAGAAAGCTTCGGGTACATAAGGACATGTTTTATTTTTGCGGAAACCCATTACTTGCCTGCTCCTCGAAGAGCTCGGCCTTTAATCTCCCAGACAAGTAGGCGACCTGACAGACTGCTCTGCCAGCTGGCACAGCGTTGCACTAGAAAGACTTGGGGAGGGTGGTGCACCAGCGGTGTAGCATGCCGATTTTCCTCACAATTGTGGCAAATTGCATGCAACGAGTTTCGACGTCAAAAGTTCGAAACTGAAAAAGCTGGTATTCCAGGAAAGTCTACTTTAGGGACGGCGCCGTCCCTGGAAAAGAACTGTCTCCCAGTTGTGAAGCTGAAAATTACACTTGCTGGGTACGCCGGTTTACTGCTACTCAGCAGGAACAGTGGACGTCCAGGAGCCTTCTTTGGGCACTCTTGGAGTCAAAAAGCAGATCCAGTCAAGAGTTGCACGCTGATCCTGAAGCATCCATTTTGGAATTCGACCTTGCACAGATCTGCCCTAACATCAATTTCCTTCAGATGCATGACGACTTCAACGACGCCGACGTCCGCCTTTGCTCCTGCTGTGTCCGAGCCCAAACACGGCTGAATCCACGAAGCAGAAACTCCACACCTGCAGACTTGCTCACACGGTGCTTTGTCCAGTCCTCTTGCGACCTTTGCCTTTGCCACCACCCTCTTCGCGGAAGCTAGCTGGGTCCAAGCAGGGTGCTGGATAACCTTGGCCCCGACGGACACAGCCGAGGCGAGGCCCTGGCCCTGCCATGCCCTGCAACGGAGCGGCTCTCGGCACCAAATTGCAGCTTCTCCTCAGCTCCAGGACGGCGACCTCTCTGAGTCAGCCCTTGAATCTCCGCCTCAAAAAGCGCGGATGCCTTAAAGCCGGAGCGCGTCCGGCGACAGCGTCCAAGGCTCGTGGATGTATCTCACAGGCATGCTTCCTTAGAGAGAGCCGCAGCAGGGTACAGCAGGGGACCCCACCTCAGCAGAGGTGACTGAGTGGCTCACGAAGCTCGGGAACCCAGTGCCTGATGTAACGGCCGTCCTTTAGTGCAGCCACTACAAGATCATCACAGCTGTACTGCTGCACGTCAATGGGCGGTTTCTTGCCATCGGCCGGGCGTCCTTATCATACATCTTTGACTGCCGAATGACCTCGGCAAACATGGAATTCAAGTATAAGGATGCGGCAACACTGTCCTACCCAGTTGTCTGCACACCAAGATTACTTCCGAAAGGCATTGAATCGGTTGATGCGTCCAGTCGTCATGCCCGCTGCATGAACCCAATTTCCTGCGCGGTACGCGATCGTGTCCATTCGGAACTCCAGGATCTGCTATGTGAGCCTCGAGCTCCCTTCACTTCTCAGCCCCTGCTCTCGGCTACACGCAGTGGCGGGTCCCCAGTTGGACGCGACATCATAATCCACCAGGTAGCTTTCGAACCAATCGGCGCCCATGCGCCTTGGCAGCCCACAGAGGCCACAAAGCTACGAAAAATGCTTCCGGCAACATCAGCTTGGGTGCCAGTCGATCTTCATGTCGAGCGCCAGGAAGGAAGCAACATTTTGCCTCCCACGATTCGACATAAATCCGGTGGCACCTAGCAGATGCCGAGAAAATGGACTGATGGTCGCCAGGCTCGCACCACAACACCTGCTACGAGTAGGATGCATCTCTGCCGGACCACGGAGCTCTCGCATGTTGGCATCGACAAGGGGATAGCCGGTCAATCCGCGGGCCCAGAGTTGGAAAAGCTTGGCATCAGATTGCCACTCCTTTGCTCCGGATTGCTGCACGATGTACATGTGAGACTGAAGCCAAGCTGCCCAGTCTCCACCAGAAACACCGTACAGCTTGAAAATCTTGTTGCCTTGACATGCATTTGCCCAAAACCCAGTCGGGAACACGGCAATCAAAGTTTGCCAAGATGCCGTGCTTTGCAGCAAAGAAGCGGAAGAAGTCGCGCCACATCCTAGGCTCGCCCTCTGCCAGGACCGATGCGCGTGAAAAAGCAATGCAACTAAAGCCGTGCCATGGAACAATTCGAAGAGCACCCAATACGTGGATTTGTTTGCCTTACAGAATGGGCAACATGCTCCATCACACCACGGAAAGGATGAGAAACAGGTGTCTGCAAAGCCTATAGAAGGCACTAGGATAGTCTGCGTTTATGCACTGTGTATAAAGATCCTGAACTGCCAAGCCTACAATCCTTGGGATGCCGTTGCACTCACAAGCTGCGGCAACGGAGGATGAAGATCAAGCTCGAGCCGCAACTTTCTCTTTCTCGTACTCGCGGATTTGCTCGAAGATCTTCCGAGGTGACAGACAGCCCAAGGCCAACCAGGGAGCAAACTTCGTGGAGTAATCCTGGGAACTGGGCTTTACGAGTCCAGACACATTAGGGCCCGATTGATGTCTTTGACTGCGCCCAAAGCTTGAGGGCAAGCAAGTGAAGGCAACATGAAGCAATGATGTCGGGCAGGTGGCTGAGCCGAGCATGCCATTTCGAGTCTCAAAGTACTTGGCTACCAGGTCTGTCTCAAACCTGGCTGCAGGTTTGCGAATGCCAGGGCTTCTTCTGAGGCGGGCCCACTACGAACGACTATGTAGTAAGTTTCCGGGCTGTGGCAATACACAGCCTTCCCAAGTTGACACGTCAGCTGGATCTTTTGCCTTCGGTGACGAACCGAACTTGGCTCAGGTAGACTACTCGGCCTTCACTCCAACTTGGGTTCGACTTGACAGGAATGCACACAACTGATGCGATTACCGGAGTTGCAGCAGAAACACAGGCGCAAGTGCGTCGCATCAGTTCCTATTACTTGGTTTGTCTTCTTGCTGCTTGAAGTGTTCTCACGCTCTATTCCCATGGCCCTCATGCCGCCTGCACTGTCGCAGATCACATCACTCTCATGCCAGAGGTGTGAACAGTGTTCTACAAGACAACACGAAACACACACGGAGACGCTGGGCAGACAGCTTCAAGAACATGCCCTGTGCAGCATGGTTCACGCATCCTTAAACAAAGACCACGATGCTGGATTTCCAGTGTTAAAGTGCGTACACTTCCTCAACACAATTAGGTCATTAGGTCATTTGCTTTGTGTTGTGCATACTGGCAGCTACAAGTCTTGAAGCTTCTCACAATGCATCTTGGGAACAAGTAGTACTGCAGCCTGCCGAGTGCTGCGACCTCACCACCTGTCAGGGCCAGCAACAGCCAAACATGGCATGCCGGGAAAGCTGAAAACACGGCTGAGAACTGAGCACGTCCACCCACACACCGGGGCGAAAGGGAAAAAGAAGGCCTTCAAATTGGTGGGCCGCAGCCTCAGGCACTTCAGGCTCCTCCACCGGTTTCTCGAAGGGTAAGTCCTCGGGCACCACTTTGGGACTCTAGGGACTCGAGGGTCCAGGCGGGAGTACATAGTTGCAGTGTCGCTATGAACACCATGGTTCTTGGGGTGTCTCCTTATCATAACCCCCACTTTCAGAGTTTAGTTGCTCTGAGTCTGCAACTATGATTACACTTACAGTCACTGCCACCCTAAACCCTAAACCCTGAGCCCTGAAAGGCCCTGAACCCTAAACATGATCACTGCGACTGCCACCCTAAACCCTAAACCCTAAACCCTAAACCCTAAACCCCTAAACCCCTAAACCCCTAAACCCCTAAACCCTAAACCCCTAAACCCTAAACCCCTAAACCCTGCCCTCCTCCCACTCGGGCTCGAAGACCAGAGCAAAGTCGAGCCCAGCTCCGGCTTCCGGCAGCGGCAGCGCTCCCGGCGGAAGGTCCGGCAGGCAGGGCCTCTCTCTCAATCAACGATAAATGCACATATACAGGTATACATATACATATATACATCAGTTTACAC